AAAGTGATCAGGAATAATTTCTAATATTGTTGCTTATAGTTTTAATTTCTTCCCTTGAGAACTTCCTATTTATATGTTTTGACTACTTATTTAGTTGCAAGTGACTCTTATCCCTATACATTTGCATTAATATCATGGGTATTAGATATCTATCAGAAATTTATAATATAATTTATAATAATTTAATTTATACAAATTTATAATATGAGGTCCAGAATGGCTATTCCCTCTTCATTTCTACTTTTAAAACTTCCTTTGGGATTTCCAGACCATTTTTCTTCCTAATAAATTTTATTACTTTGTATAGCTCTAGAAAGTAATCCCTGGGTAGTGTGATTGGTATAGCACTTACTATAAATTAATTTAGATGGTATCGTCACTTTTATTATATTGGCACAGCCCAGCCACAAACAAAGAGTATACTTCCAATAAAATAACTAACTCTTTATTTCTTTAAATAATTCTGTGGTGGAATATTGTTTGTATCTTGCTCAATTGATTCATATAGTTGATGTATTTTATGGTTATTTCAATGGGATTTTCCTTTCTATTATTTCCTCTTTGATTTTGTTATCGCTATATAGAAATTCTCCATTCTCACTTCTGCCTCTTGACTTTGTTAAAGACTTAGCTCAAATCCTACCTTCTGTAGGCCTTTTCCATCCACCTCCGTCCCCCTCTCCACTACTAGCGCTTTTCCTTTGAGATTAATTCCCATTTACATTGTACATATCCTGTATGTATATAGTTATTTACATGTTGTCTCCCTCATTGGAGTATGAGTTCCTTGAGGGAAGAGACTATGTTTCTGATTTTCTTTGTATCCCCTCTACTTGACACAGTGACTTATACATAGTAAATATTTAATAAATGTTTGTTAACTGACTGATACTGAAATCTCAGCTGTAGAACAATACTTTTCTTCAACCTCAGTTGTCCCCTCATTTGTTCCCATCTACCTTGACTTTGCTCTCCTAATTCTTGTTACAGTTTTTTTTTAAGTTTAAAGTTTTGAGTTTACTTAAACAGAACAAAATAATTCTCTTGAACCCTCAGAGTATCTTCCTCAAACCTATTACTTTATTTTAAACCACTCTAACTAAGGAATCCCCTTTCAGTTTGGTCAGAGGTTGTACAAAGTCATGTCTTTATGGATAAGACATTCCTGCTATTGGTTTGTTCTACAGAAATGAGACTAATTCTAGTAATTCTAGTCTCAGGGATTCAAGATTCCTCCCTGGGTTATATTAAACCTCTATTTGAGGCTAATTAGGTCAAGTGAGTCCAGGTAGGAGCCCAGGACATTGTCTTCATATTATTTCTTAATATTTTTTCCCCCTCAAAATCTTTTCCTTACTCACTCCTGCCATCTTCTGGCACTTTCTGAGACCTGACTTCCTCCTGATGATAACGCTTTCCTGTTACCCTTTCCAGCACTGGCTATACCGTATTTTCTTTCATACACTGCCCCCCACTCCACCCCCCCCCCCCACTGATTGGTTGCGTGGGAGGAGCTGGAATAAAACTTGTTCCCCATTAACACTTCCAAACTTTCCACTATTATTCAGCTACCTCTCCTCCACTGAATTTCAACTATCTGTATTTATCATCCAATCCAGATTCTGGTGGATGTTACCTACCAACCCCCAGATCATTTCCCCTCCTTTCTCAATAAATTTAATACTTAGGTCACTGTCTTTATTTCCACTCCAACCCCCTCCCTCATAGTAGGGGACTTCAACATACCTATTGATGTTTTCTTAATTACTCTAACTTTGCAGTTCTTCAATTTACTCAATTCCATTCCTAACTCTGTTTTTCTTCCTCATTAGGACCTCCAAGTCCTCCATGCTTCAATGCTCTCCCTCACCTTAACAGCCTTCAACCTTAGAATATTCCTATAATTTTCCTCCTTCCTTCATATTCATGTGCAGCTGAATGGAGGTGGAAAAAATCATGAAATCATGCTAACTGGATTCATTACAAATTTATATTACATAATTTCAACTGTACCCTGCAGAAAGGAAATCCTTCTATTTCTTGCTAATTAATTCTCTATTCCACCTATTACAATAGCTGTTCCAATCCTCTTTTGTCTCTCCTTAAGCGTCCCATGGTACCCTCCCCTGACCATCTCAGCTCAGGACCTCACCTCAAACTTCATTGAAAAAACTGAGGCCATCAGCTGAGAGTTCCCTCTTTTCTCCTGCCCCTCATTTCACATCTCTTTGACATCAGCCACCACTCTGTCCTCCTTTACCACTGTTTCCCTTGAAGAGGTGGCCCTTCTCTTTGTCAAAGCCAACACTTCTACGTGTAACTTTCATTCCTTTCCATCCCATCTTCTCCAGCAGGTTGATTCCACCTTCATCCTTGTTCTATGTAATCCATTCATTTTAGTCATCCAAGGCTTCTAACTGCAATGCCATTCTTGACTCTTTACTCACCCTACATTTCTAAATCTGTTTATCAAGTCTTGTCATTTTTATCCTTATGATATCTCTCCTATAGGTTTCCTTCTCTCCACTCCCACATCCACCACCCTAGTTCAGACCTTCATGCCGTCTTATTTGACTTTCTGCAATAGCTTTCTTCTTGGTCTCCTGTCCAGTAGTCTCCTTGGCCTCAAGTCTCTCCCCTCTCCAGTCTATCTATCCTCCATTCAGCTGCCAAAGTGATTTTCCTAAAGTTCAGAGGTCTGAACATTTCAGCCCAACTCAGTAAACCCTACTACCTCCAAAATATCCCTAGGATCACATATAAAGTCCTCTGTGTGGTATTGCAGACTTTAAAACCTGGCACCATCCTTCCTTTCCAATCTTTCCATGCTTCTTTTCCCTCCATGCATTCTACAATTCATCAATCCTGCTCTACTTGCTGTTCCTTGCACTTCTCATTCCATTTCCCATTTCCATGCCTTTGCGCTAGTTGTCTCTACCTCATGCCCCCCATAATTGGAATATATTCCTTCCTCACTTCAGCCTCTTGACATTCCTGGATTCCTTCAAGATTCAGTTCAAAACCTCCCTTTGGCAGGAGGACTTACTTCTCCCCAAGCCACTTGAACCTTTTTCCTCTAATGTTTTCTACTCTGTATGTGTCTTGTATATACCTATTTATTTACATGTTGTTTCTCTTATTAATATATAAGCTCCTTGAGGACAGGGCTGTTTTAGGTTTCAGCTTTTCTTTTTATCTTCAGCATATAGCACAGTGTCTGGCACGTAGTAAGTACTTAAGAAAGATTGTTGGTTGATACCTTCTTGGCAATAGTTCCATGGCCCTCTGTCCACTTAATGGACTGGTTTTGGACGTGTACAATATAGGATAGATCACTTGCAATGCTGTACATTCACAGGAGCCACTTTCTGGCCTGCATACACACTTAGGGGCAATTAGTTGGCCATCTTTCTTGTCTCTGGCCACATTACTGACCTTTTCCATTTGATTTGTGCTCCATATACATTCTCTGTCCTGTTTGGGACTAATCTGTTGCTTTCTTTCTATTCTTCATACCCATTTCCTCACCTGTCCAATTCCAGAAATATTCTTGGATTTATGTCTACTAACACATTCCCTAATCTGTCTAATTTGAGATAGATCCCTGTTCCTCATAAAATGTGTTCTCTGAGACCTTTTGCTGGTTTCGGAGAATTTCCTGTGTGCCTGTCTACCTACTAAACATATTTCTTGACTTTTACTATGAATAGATTCTTGACCATCTATATACACTTTGGATGCATTCCCTTACCTTTCCACTTTGGAGTAGGTCTCCTTACTCGCAAGACACTTGACATAATTTGTCCAATTCATGATTGGTTCCTACATTACTTACCTCTCAGGGACAGATTACTGGTTTGTATACTCTCTGGATACATTCCTTGACCTGTCTAATCTGAAATAGCTCTTTGGTCCTCTGTCTATTCTTAAATTCTCTGATCTATCTTCTTGTTGTTGTTGCTTCAGTTGTATTTGACTCTTCATGACCCCTTTTGGGGTTTTCTTGGCAAAGGTACTGGAGTGGTTTGCCATTTCCTTTTTAGCCCATTTTCCAGATGAAGAACTGAGGCATACAGGATTAAGTGACCTGCCCAGGGTCACACAGCTAGTCAGTGTCTGAGGCCAGATTTGTATTCGGGCCTTCCTGATTCCAAGCTCAGTGCTTTATCCACTGTGCCACCTTGCTGCCCTCTAGTCTCATATAAATTCCTAGCCATGTCTAAGGTATGTTCTTGTAGACAGCCATCTATCTATTGCGAGAAGGGAAGTGTTTCATCTTTTGATTTCTGGTAACAAAATTGGTGTTTGTAATTAACCTGAGTTCCACTGTCTTTTAGTGTTATTTTCATACATGTTGTTGCTATTGTATATATTACCTTCCTGGTTTAGCTTTTTGTTCCATATCAGTTTTTTTTTATATTTTCAATCATTAAAGATTTATTTTCTCACCCGAGGTGGTTTGATTTGCCTAGTACATGCTACCTCTCGCCTCTCCCTTAGGGTACCTTGCTGCTTTAGGGTCTCCGAGTCAAAAGACTCTCATTCAAATGCTCTTGTGTTTCCCTGCTTTTCACAGGATCAAGGTTTCTTATGATGTGGTAATATTCCATTATATTCTTATACTACACTTAGTTTTTACCAGTCTGCTTTCCAGCTTTCCTATCAATTCTTATCCAATAAAGAGTCTTCCCCAACTGCCATGCTTTCTTATATTCATCAGACACTGCATCCATTTGTATATTTTTTCTTGCCTATCTAGTCTATTCCATGGATCTACTTTTTTATTTTTTAACCAATACCAAATAGTTTTGATGATCATAGTTTTCTAATACTTTGAAATCTAGTAATACTAAGCACTCTTCATTCCTACTTTTTCATTATTTCATTTGAGATTCAAGACTTTTTGTTCCTCAAAATGAATTATTATCTAATCTCATTCTATAAAGTAACCTCCTGGTAGTGTCATGGAAAGAAAACTCACTGCTTATAATTTAGGGTACATCAGTAAAATGCTTTATTTTGTGCATAGCTACAAGCCATGACAAGGAAGGGCATCATGCGGTGGCCCACAGAACAGAAATTTATATGGGACAACAGTAATGTAGTCACATTAGGCTCACAAAAAGTCTTTGGAACAGGAATTAAGGGGAGCAGTTGGATGGTGTCACCAGCCTCAGGATGACAAATAGCTTTAGTTAGACAGCAAAGGACCTGGAAGATGGAGGAGAACTAAAGGGCAGTGGCCATGGGTATCCAACACTTAAATGAGGGTGTGCAGGGGCAGGGGTGGGGAACCAGGGTGAGACAGTTTGGTCCAAGAATCAAGTTTGGTCCAAGAATCTGAAAAACATATTCCAGCTTGAGTCTTTGACTGGCAGACAATCTGGGAGTGGAATTTCTGGGTGGTGTGGAGGCAGGCTGGTGCATCCAACCTGGGGTTCTTTATCCTTGGTCACAGATGGGAGCAGCAGCACAGGACAAGAAGAGAAGCGTTTGGTTCCAGGGGATGGTGAGTTTCTTCTGTAGTATGATGTATAGCTCCATGTCTGATGGTCAGATGGCGGATGGCAATGTTGATGGGCAACAGGATCTGGGATGAACTCTTCCATTATGATCGAAGGGTGCTTTTCTCACTGATGTGCCCAGTCTTCCAGTTGGAAGTTGTGGCAAGGAAAAGGTGCCAAGTGATCTGGGAAGAAATTCTGATACCTGATGGTGAACAGACTAATATATTTCATTAGTACTTGAACATGGTTAACAGTCTCATCTATTAAATAAAGACCTGTTTGGTAGGGGATGTCTATAGGAGTTTCAAGGTATTAGGGTATGCTTTTTTGCTAATAAATACTTGTTAATGGAATGATAATTCAAAAGGACCTCAAAGGGCATGGGGGTCAGCAGGTCACTTATGTCCAATCTCAGTATAAATCTTAGCTATATTTAAGGATTATGTTTAAGTTATTTATAAGGATTATATTATAGTGCTTCTGAAATTCAGGGTGGTACTGGAAGTGAGAATGCAATTGAAAAAGAAAAGTATGAAAATTCCTCTTACAATTTGTTCTATATAATGAGTGCCTCTAGCAACACAGGCAGATGTAGTAGGGAAGTAAGAAATTTTAGTATTGCTGAGCTACCTTTTATGCAATTCTTTCTTTTTAGGAGGGATTGGTGGAGATGGGACTGGGAAGATCGTATCTGGAAATGGAGGAGCTTAAAAAAATGAAAGGGATGCAAGAGAAATAATGGTAAGTCTCAAGTCACAAGTTATGGGGAAGCTGTAGGGGGGAGAGATTAGATGGGTCAAGGTAATTCTACAGAGGTGAAGCTTCCAAGGTTACTCACTCTATGCATTCCAGCCCTGTCAGTTTTGCCCAGGCCGATGTCTGATACTTAATTAACTTCAGGCAAGAGGAACAGGAGGGGGTCAAAAGAGTCTGCAAGTGCTCTACTTTCAGTCTGGTGGCTAGGTGTCAAGAAGCAGAAGGGCAGAACATCTACTGAGTTTAAGCAAATTGTACTACCAGAATTGACTGCATGATAGCAACAATGGAATTCAGGAAGAATAGGTAACATTCAGGAAAGAGGCATAGGAAAACTCTTAGGAGCTGATGCAGAGGGAAGGAAGAAGAACCAGTGACAACCATAATGTCAGTGGAAAGTCCCCAAAGTGAAAGTGGTTGCATTGTCTTTGTAATGACCAAGGATCTTGGCAGTGGAGAAGAGTTGAGAAAAGTCACCTCCGTTCCTTCCATGTAGATGGGGATATAGATGTGGATGATCTGAGTGTGAAACATTGCACATGCAGGCTGACTTGGTGGATGTGTTGGCTGGTTTTATGGAACTGCCTTCCTCCATTTCTTTACTAATTCTTTGTACTAAAGGATGGATTACTTTGGAAATGATAGGGATGGGTATATTTGGAAATGAGGATGATATAAAAACAAAAAGCTA